AGCGAGAATCGAACACAGCAATTGCGCGCAACACGGCCACCTATTAACGAAAACGGCGTCGCTATCCTCTATTCGGTGGTACCTCTTTGGATCTCTGACTCTGTCTGGCTTTATATCTATCTAAATATCTATCTATCAGTGGTACTGCCTGGCTGTCCTAGAAGAAGTGGCTATGAAAACCACCAGCTGCAACCTGCCAGCACTCTCTGTCTGCGTGACGCCCTGTGCGAAACTCCAGCTGCTACTGGCTGGCTGCAGCTGCTTAGATTAAACCAACATGCCTGGCAGTCCTAGAAGCGCTGGCTATAAAAATTGCTAGCTGCAACCAACCCTCGCTGTCTACTTCACTTGTCTCCTTTCTTCTTCTTGGCTTTGGCTTCGCTTTCTGCTTTGCCTGGATGCATGCGACATGTCTGGCTGTCCTAGCAGCAGTGGTACTGGCTCTAAACACTGCTGGCTGCCACCTACAAGCTTCCTCAGTAATTAATTCATTCCTTCCCTTCACTTCTCTCATCCGCTTCGCGCCTGGCTTCGCTTTTGCTTCGCTCTCTGCCTTGCTGCCTTTCGTAGCCCACCTGAGAGCCTTGGCTGGGTTGCAGTCTTTACATCCACTGACTGCCATCCTGCACTTGCCGCAACCAAATGTGCGGCTGCGTGCCTGCACATCTGGCACTGCCTCTGCTGCCTCAGCTTGGGGAGGTGCCTCTGGTGGAGGTGGCAGCGGAGGGGGCGCTGAGTCCAGCTGGCTGACTGCCTTTGCCTTGTTCTGCTCCTTGGCCAAAGCTGCCTGCCAAAGAACTAGTTTCGCTGACTGCCTCTCCACTGAGGACTCAAAAGGCCCCTGGCTGAGGTTCAAGAACTCTCTGGCTTCCCTCTCTGCATATTGCAGAATCCACAGGCCGCAGGAAAAACCGTCTGTCTGGCGGTGCCTGTTGGTCCTGGCTGGGAGCTGCGCTTCTGCAACGATCATCGACAAAGCTGCCTGAGCTGCCACTGTTGCGTTGTGGCTGGCTTCTGGCAAAGTCTCGAAATACCTGCAACGCACTGTCTGACCTGGCTCACTGGCTAGGGAGAGCAAGGTCCAGTGCTCAGGGGCCTCACTGTGCACAGGTACCAAAAGCAAAGCTGGCTTCTCTGTCTGCTCCTACCAAGCGAACGAATTCGGAACTACCTATTGACAAAATACAGCGCAGTTTCCTGTATTGGGTGGTGCTTGCTTTGCTGTGTATACCTGTCTGTTACTTGTCAACTATCTATACCCAACTTGCCTATGTGGTGGGTTTTGGCAATTTTCTGTACCTACGTCTTCTGACAGTGTCTTTTTCATGCCTCTACATAGGCAA